TTCTTGGAAGACGTGTGTCCGGTGGTGGGAGTGGTATTGGCTTTTGTACTTTGGAGAGCCTGGCCCTGCCCCATCGAAAGGAGATGCTTGGGAGGAGCCGGGAGGCTTTGTTTCAGAACGTAAGTTCATAACAGAACTTTTCTTGGACAGGATCCACCTGTCTTTTAGAGACAGACCTACTGCAGACAGTATCTTTGTTGACATCTTGAGCCGTGACGCCGGAACATTCTTCAGGGTGTCCCCCTCGCTCCACCTCCTTTCCCCGCAGCTCCGCTTTCCTCCGACGGGCTGGGGGTAACCGTCTCAAGGCCAAGAGAGTGGCAGTTCTGAGTCTCAGACCGATGCCCCAGCAGGTCCCGGGCTCTTGCTTAAATTCTCAGCAGCCTGGCACTTTGCGGAAGTCGGCTCCAATCAAACGTTGTCCTTTGGGATCATTCCCTCCCCCTGAAGAGGCATGTTTGCAGCAAACCCTATATTTCAAGGTCGTCTTGCCCATCAGGCCCCCAGTGAAGATGCCTGTGGCCATTGCATCCTGCTCAACTTCCTGAGCCTCGCTTGCTGTTTGTGCCGGGCATGGGCGGGTGCTTCAGGGTCACTGAGAGGAGAAGAATGCGATCCTTGCCCCAGAGGAGTTTGTAATTCACCAGGAGCCAGACGAGCCTAGCTTTGGAGGCTGTCAAAACCAAACCTGGTGCCTGACTTTGTCCCTCTGGCTGTGTGACCTCGAGCTGGTCACTTGACCTCTCTGAGCTGGAATTTTCTGATCTGCAAAACGGGGACCCTAATGAACTGGCCTCCCTGGGTCCTTGGGGAAATCAAGGAAGTGCCCGTGTTGTACCTGGCACATAGTAGGTGCCCAGTGAGTGTGCGGCACCAGTGGTAATGGCAGTGATGGGGGAGGAGGCACGGTGTTGAGGGACATCCCAACAGAACTGGGTGATGTCTGGAGGCGAGCAGGTGACAGGGCGAAACAGAGAAGGGCCAGAGCCTAGAGGGGTCAGAGCCCAGACCAAGGAGCAGTGAAATGAGAGGTTGGCAGGGAAACATCAGGGATTTTGAGTGACACTCATTCAAAGTGTGGAGCTGGCCACCCACTGGTGTTGGGAGAGTGAGGTGTGTTCCAGGTGGGGACGAGGACACCTTAGCATTTATGTCCACGTCACTGTTAGGTGACCTAACTCCATTTGGCTCCTTCCGTGTGTAATTATGTTTGGAATCCGGGTTCCATACCTGTAGCCGCTGATGTGACAGTTTGGTGGCAGAGTACCCACGGCAAACGGTTTAAAGACAGTGGTGAATGGGGATGGTTGAGGAACAGAAGTAGGGAATTCTTTGGCTGCCTTCCGTGCGCCAGGTGCCCACAAGAACCCTGTGATTCGGTGGTCCGTGCCCCATTTCACAGATTGGGACACAGACCTGGGTGCAGATGGCTTCAAGAATTTGCCCAGGGATGGTGAGCTGCAGAGTGAGGCCCGGGGCTCAAACCCAGCTCTGCCTGATGCTGAACCCTTCCTTCCCTCTGCACTGCCCCACCCCAAAGGAGCATGATAAATACAGCAGCCGGCATTCTCCCTCAGGTCCCTCTGACTTTAAGCTGCAGCTCTCAGCTCATCCCCAGCTCACTACCTCAGCCTTCACCAGAAGCCCATGAACTTTGGCCAGTTGGCTCAGCTCTACAGGCCACCCATCGGCCACAGGTGCTGGCTGCAAACATGTCCCTGGTCACCGTGCTCCAGCCACATGGTTGGTGGGGCTGGGTGTTTCTTGGGACGGCAACCCGCTGTGATTGCCCAAGAATGCCTTCCCCCTGATCCAGCTCCTCTCCTTTGGCTGTTCTGGCCTACGCCAATGCTCAGGACTTGAGGGATAAACGTTTGTGAACAAAGATGTTCAACCCAGAGCTGTTCGTTCCTGAGTGTAAAATACCGGAAGTGAAGAGAGGGGAAACGGGTTGGGAAAGTTGCCTTTTCTGCTCTACAGCGTGATGCCGTGTGGCCTGCATGATGGCATAGAAAGAGGGCTTGAGGGGTCGAGGGGGAGAGAGATGCTGAATGCAAAGAGGCTTACTTGGTGTCAGGCTGGTTATTACGATGGGGGCCGTGATGCCCTGCCCTGGTCTGTTCCCCGTGCCTCTGCCTCATCACTGTCCGGCTGGCTGTGGACCCTGGCGGGCTCTCCACGGCTAATCTGATGGGGCCGTGCGCGAGGCTGATGGGGTGCCTCGTGCCCAAGGGGGATGAGCTGACCCCAGATGGCTGTGGGGCTCCCACCTGGCTGCCTGCTCATTCCCCACCCCCCAAACCCGGGACCCAGCCCCCAGAAGGCTCTGCTTTGCACAAGTCCCAGCCTTGTGGCTGCTTCAAGCATTCCAGGGACATTCCAGATTTCTGAACTGAGCGGAGGACTTAACATTTTATTGTCCTGCTGAGAATAAGGTTCAAAGTGCTCAGGTTCCCCGGGGAGAATCATTTCCAAATGTTTCCACAGCCCCGGGCACAAAGTTCTCGCCCTGCTGAGCTGGCTGTGGGAGTCTAAGCTTTAACTGGGCTTGCCTTTCTCAGAGTCTGAGGGAGGCCTTGGGGCCACTGCTCATCCCTGGGGGCTTCCACACACCCACACGGGGCCGTGGTTCCCCATTTCTCATGGGCCATGGCAAGCATACCCCCTTTGTTTCTTTAACACATAATCAAGCGGCGTCTGGGTGGCTCGGTCGGTTAAGTTTCTGACTTCGGTTCAGGTCATGATCTCACAGCTCATGGATTCGAGCCCCATGTCAGGCTCTGTGCTGACAGCTCAGGGCCTGGAGCCTGCTTTGGATTCTGTCTCTCTCTCTCTCTCTCTCTCTCTCTCTCTGCCCCTCCCCCACTCGTGCTCTGTCTCTCTCTCTCTCTCTCTCTCTCTCTCTCTTTCTCTCTCAAAAATAAATGTTAAAAAAAATGAAAACACATAATCAAACGCTGTTTTCTGAGAGCTCACTGTGTGCTCAGAACTTTATAAGCGCACTCGCTCAGCATCTCTGCAAAGGTTATTTCAAGCCCCGTTTTCACCGTTGGAGCTTTGGCTCAGAGAGGGGAAGCCACCTGCCTGGGGTTGCAGAGCACGAAAGCGCTGGAGCCGGGATTGGAGCTGTGACCCCAGAGCGCATGCTTTTTCCGCTCGGCTCTGTAGCTGCTGCTTGCCAGCTTTGTGCCGAGGAACGTGAGGAAAAGGGATGGCCCAGCTTGTAAGACCTCTGCGGCTGGGAGGGCAAGGCCGTCGGAAAATGTTGGAACAGTGAGGTGTGCTCCCCGGACAGGGGGTGGGCTGTGAGCAGGGGGGCACCCAGGCCAGGCTGGGTGGATTGTCACTCTCACCCAAACCACCTTGGACGCCCCCCCCCCCCCCCCCCCCCGCTGGCCCCGTGGGGGTGGGGCCGGGACGGGGTACCTCCCTCATTGTGGAGAGCAGCCCAGGGGTCCCCGGAAGCCCCGGCGGAGGGGTAGCCCTGACTCGGTTCCAGGCGACACCCCTCGTCCTCCTGGCCACGGGAAAGGGCCGGCCATGCACTAACTCTCCCGGGATCTTTCTGGAAGGGCTACTCTTGGTGCTCGACGGCAATTTCTCTGCCGGCCTGGAGGGCCTTCAAGGGCAGCGTGTGCCCCGCCCGGTCTGACTGCACAGGTGTTTGTGCTGGTTGACGGCCGCTTGTCAAAGCTGGTGTTTTAGGAACTCTCGGCCTCGTGCGAAGCCCAAGAATGAGCCTCCCTTCTGGGGCCGCCCCAAGGGCCCGGCCTTGGAAGAATAATGAACTCCAACGGGACACCCATGGCTGCTGGCGCCTCGAAACGCTGCCAGGCCCGGTGGGATTTACCCCGTTGGGTGCTGGAAAGCCATCGGTGAGAAAACGTGGGGTTTCGTAAAGCCAGTTTCGCAACGTCCTGCACAGCGTGATCCTGCACTCAGGCCACAGAGGCTTTTGGTGCTAATGCTCCCGGCCACGCGAGTCCTCTAGGCTGAGGGCATCTCGGTACCCAGCTGCTCCTGCCTTGGGGGGGGGGGCCCTCTCCTTCCCCCGAGGCACGAGGCTCATTGGGGCAGCCGTCTGGGGTGAGGCCGAGAGCCAGGCTGGGGACCGGAGGGCCGTCGTCCAGCTGTGAGGGCACGCGTGGGTTGGCTGCTGAACCTTCTGTCCTTGGGGAGCCCTCCTTCTGTCCTTCGGGTGAGCGGAGACGCCCGTGTCGTGCAGATCAAGGGCAGGAGCAGTCAGCTGCTGTATCACGAGGACTGCCACCCCGCCGACAAGTTGATGCAGAAATTAACCGAGAGCGCCCGGACGTGGCTCCCAGAAGCTGGCCTAGAAATGTTGGCGCTTTTCTTCTCACCCGGGTGGGCTCGTGGCGTGGGGGGCCCCCATTTCCGTTCTGTCCTCCGGGTCTGTGTATGTCACAGTCCTCCCTGGAGTCTGCCCTCTGCTCAGCAGGGGAGGCTCCCTGGGTTGTCTCATCAGCGCTGCCGGGAGCCTCCAGGCCACCCCCATTTCTGACCCTCTAAGAGTCCGGTTTCCGGTGCCTGGACACCCTCACTGCCGGGCTGCACGACGCGTGCTCACGTCCCTGCCTTGGTTGCCCTCCCGACCCGTCTGGGCAGGGTCCCCATCCGAGTTTCTGTTGTGTGGCCGGAGCAGGGATTCAGCCCAAGTGGGTGTGCATCCCGGGTGCTGAGCCGCAGCCCCATCAGAACTGGATGCGGAAGGTACCGGTTAAGGTACTGGTTAAGGTACTGGTTGAGGCGTTAGGCTTTCCCAGGAAGGAGCCGGCGTGGATTCCAGCCCAGGACCCAGTGGGTTCAGAGTTCACGCTGTGGAGCGTCCGAGGATGTGTGCGGGCCCGTCCGGTCCGGCCTCACCTGCCCTGGATGCCTGAGGAAGTGGGGTAGTGGGCGCCTGTCCAAGGGGACCTCGCGTGGGTGAGTGGTGAGCCGGCCCCCTCACCAGGCGCCCTGCTCTCTTCCCGCACAGTGGCCGCAGACACCCTCATGGAGGCTTGCTGTGCAGATGGACATCAAATGGCCACACAGCACAGGGACTGCTCACTGCCTTATGCCTCGGAATCCAAGGAATGCAGGTACGTTTGCCAGTGACGGCCGTTTTACCAGAACCGTGTTCCTCTAGCAGGAAGCCGGGTGTGCCGGGACCCCTGGCAGAGTCTGGCGTGCAGGCCCAGATCCGCCCAGGCTGTGGGGGGCGTGGTGGATGACCCCCGCCTCCTTCCTCTGTGCTCCCACGTCCCCGCACGGGACGGGGCTCCCCCTTCCTGGGGCGGCCCCGGCGTCTCTCCCCTTCACTGGGCTGCAGAGCAAAGAGAGCTTCGCTGGGGTGGCTGTTCTCTCTGCCACCGCTGGGCACTGTGGCCAAGTCAGTCTCCTCCTAACAAAAAGGGGTCTGTTTGGGGGGGGGAGGGGCGGTCGGATGAGATCACGTGACTGGCGAGTCACAGCGTGGTCTGCCTTCAGACCCCGACAGCGCGCGTGAGCCGGTCCAGAGCGGAGCGTTCCCACAGACGGTTGTTCCCCTATGCAGTAGCCAAAACCTGGACGAACTGTGCTTTTTTTCCCTCAATTAACCCAAGCTCCCTCGAAGGTTTGGCAGGCGTTAAGCGTCGAGTAAACCACGAAGGTCTGGAATGTCGATCGTCACCGGAAAGGTAACAGTAAGAGTAGGGGCCAGCCTGTACAGAGCTGCTCCCTGCTGTGTGTGATGAACGTTTTCCTCATGTAACCCCGCTGTTAATCCCGGCTTACAGCCCAGGAACCTGAGCTCTGCCCCCTGCGCACAGCCGGTGGGTGACGGTGTTGGGATTCGAACCCAGATCGGCTCGCCCGGGGAGCAGATGTCAGGGAGGTGAGGCCCCGAGAGCGTTCCCTCCTTGTGACAGCCGTGCGTTTCCTCCGTGCGGCCCTCGGAGCCGTGGGGAGCTGGGTGGAGAGCGGCCGAGGAGGGTTCAGTGAAGTTTCCTTCCCTCGTTCTGGACTTCTGCATCTCAGCTGGCAGCGGGCATAACGCGATCGGCCAGCGTCGCCGGGCGACGTAAATCTCGATTTGGGAAAATGCTTGAAAGGTCCAGAGCGTTGTGGACCGAACAGAGGGAGAGAAAACAGGACGGTCGGTTGTTTGAATTGACGGGGAGGGGGGAGGCCATGCACTCAGGATTTGCAGGGCGTCTGATGGGTGAGAGCTGGGAGTTTGGCTCCCGAGTGTGGTTCGGAGGGGCCGAGGCAGAGCCGGGCGGTCAGCACCGAGTGCTGTGTTTGGGGACCGAGCCAGCGAGGGGCAGCCTGGCCCTGGGAAGCTGGGTGGACTGGGCTGGATTTCTGGCTGTGTAACCTGAGCCAGCGCAGAGCCTCGGTTTCCCCAAGTGCAAAAGGAGGGTTGTGACACCATGCTTTTGGGGCTGGGACGATGACAGGAGGAGGAGGGAAGACGCCAGCCCCACAAAGCCAGGCAGTGTGAGTGTTGCAGTCTGCCCGGGCCGCCGTGACGAACACCACACGCTGTGGGGCTTGAACAACCCACATTTATGGTCTCACAGCTCTGGAGGCCGGAAGGCCGGGATCACGGCGTGGGCAGGGCGGTCTCCTCCCGAGGCCTCTCTCGTGGGCTTGCAGACGGCCGTCCTCCTCTGCGTCCCCACACGGTTGTCCCTCTGTGCGTGTCGGTGTCCTGACCTCCCCTTCTTAGCAGGACCTAAGTCATAGTGGATCAGGGCCACCCGGATCACCTAACTTTATCTTTCTCACCTCCGTAAAGGCCCTGTCTCCAAATACAATATCACGTTTGAGATACTGGGGGTGAGGACGTCAATGTGGAATTTGGGGGGACACAGTTCCACTCGTAACAGGGAGCCTGTATTATCAATACTTACTGAAATCACAGACGTTAAAGTAGGGCATCAGCCGAACCTCTCTGTGTACAGATGGAGAGACTGAGGTCAGAGAAACTCAGAAGCTGGGGGCCCCTACTTGTGAATTTGGATCTCAGTCACTGCTCCATTTATGAGTGACTTCTAGCCACCAAAGTCTTTAATAAGTTCTGGAGTTATCTTTAATCCCCAGACTACGTGGAAAATACCTTCTTCGCTATGCAGCACACGTTTGTTCTGTGACATCTTGGTCAAGGGTAAATTTCGAACGTGCATGTAGAGATAATCCTAAAATGCAGAGAATGTCACCTGAATGGCCGAGTGGGAATTTCTTCTCTCTGTGGGGAATGTGGCTACACGTCCGGGCTCCCTTGACCCCCGACTGCCTGCTGGTGGCACTCACTTCATATCACAGGGGCCTACGGAAATTCCGGCCGGGTGGCGAGCGTTCGCAGATTACGACGTCCTCCCTGGCCACCGCTTACCGGTCACGGCCAGTTTCACGGAAGCTCCAGGAGGCTAATTGGCTTGTCACAGTGAACTCACGGGCCGGGCTGTGTGTGTGTCCAGAGCCTCTTGGAGAGTACTTAGCTGTTGAGCTGACCGGCTCTAACCGCGTCACTGTCCGCCGTCCCTCCAAGCCTCTCCTGAACATTTTCCGCTTTGCTCAGTTACCTTTGGGGTTCAAACCCCACGTAGTCTGCGGAGATCGGAGGCCGAGCCTGGGCTGGTGGCTCAAAGAGAGATGTCGCTCATCTAAGAACACAATTGGGTTTTTATTCAAGAAGCAGGCACTGAGGGGCGCCTGGGTGGCTCAGTCGATTAAAGCGTCCAACTTCTGCTCAGGTCATGATCTCACGGTCCTGGGTTTGAGCCCCGCGTCGGGCTCTGTGCTGATAACTCTGTACTTTGGATCCTCTGTCCCCCCCCCCCCCCCCCCCCCCCCCGCCGCCCCCCTCTGCCTCTCCCCTACTCACTCTCTGTTTCTCTCTCAAAACTAAATAAACATGAAAAACATTTTTTTAAAAAAAGAAGCAGGCATTGAGTGCCACTGTGAGGGATACTCAGGAGAACGCGACCCCTCCCCAGCCCTCCGTGCTTTCTGTTCCAGGGGGCGAGGACAGCAGATAATTGTGAGCCCAAAGTCAGGTGTTCGGTGCCGGGACGGGCGTGGGCTCTGAGTGCCGGGCCTGACCAGCAGCCCATCGAGGCCTGATAGCCGGGATTTTCTCGCAAACTCAATATTATCACTGACGGCGAAGGCAGGGGAGGGGGAGAGAGCAGGTCATAAATCAAATCTGGTTCAAGAGGGTCTTCTTGTTAGTGAGAGTTAAAGGATGCAGGAACCAAAGATCACCGGCCGCTTGGTAACTTAGGCCTCGTATCATTTTTCTTCTTCGGGAGTGGCATTCGACCTTTCCGGTTTTAAGTAAAATTCTCAGTTTTCATTCATCCAGCGCCCCCTCGTTGCCCCTCGCTGCTGCTCTGAGCTCAGGATGAGGTGGGATGTTGTAACGGGATGTTTGAGCCGGGGCTTGGCGGAGGGAAGCGAGCAAGCCGGGCGGGATGTCAGATGGCTGGTCCAAGTCTAGGGCAGGGAGAGTGCAGGGCGGGGATCGGGGGGATCTGGGCGCGGGTCTCCAGACGCCCAGCCCCGGGCGCCACCAGGGCACAGCTTTGTAACCGTGGCCGCGGGAGCCTTTTCGGTGCGGAAGGCTGTTCTAGTCCGCCAGGCCACCCCTCCCTGCGTCCCTGAAGCCTCGGCATGGTCCTGGCACACAGTAGGGACGCAGCCAGATTTCTTTTACTTGCGGTGACATACACGTAGCATAACTTCTACCGTCTTTTTTTTTTTTAAGTTTTATTTTATTTATTTTGAGGGAGAGATAGAGAGCACGAGTGAGGGAGGGGCAGAGAGAGGGAGAGAGAGAATCCCAAGCAGGCTCCACACCGTCAGCACAGAGCCCGACACGGGGCTCAAACTCACGAGCTGTGAGATGGTGACCTGACCTGAAATCAAGAGTCAGACGCTTAACGGAGTGCGCCGCCTGGGTGCCCCCTTTGACCTTCTTAACGAGTTTTAGGCGCCTGGCTCCACGTACTCGCCATCCCCGAATGTTCTCGTCTTTCCAGATCGAAACTCCGTCCCCGCGCCTGGTGTGTTTTCTGTCTGATTTTTGACGACTCCGTGTTCTTCATAGAAGTGGGAACAAACAGTATCTGTCCTCTTGTGCCTGGTTCATTTCCCCGAGGATCCTGTCCCCGAGGCCCGTCCGTGTCGTAGCAGGGGACAGGATCTCCTTCCCCGTTGGGGCGGAATCCCGTGTCGCTGTGCGGATGGGCCACGTTTCGTCCACCCGTCCCTCGGTGGACGCTCGGGCTGCTTCCTTCTTTGGACTGTCGTGAGTGATGCTGTCGTGGACGTGACTGTGCAAACATCTCTCTGAGTGCCTGCTTTCAACTTTTGGAGGGGTGTATCCTGCTGGATCACGGGATAGTTCTGTTTTTAATTTCTCGAGGAACTATGCCTCCTGCTTTGTACAGCAGCTTTGACACCCCCATCCACAGTCCCCGGGGCCTCCAGTCCTCATCCTGAGGCTCTCAGGCTGTTTTCTGTCCAGCCAGTGTCTTTGAGTGAATGGATGGACGGGTGCCTGTCTGGTTGCTGTTCCTGACAATTTAGTGAAATGCCCAGTATTTGTAAACTCACCCAAAGCACGAATGAAACGTGTACTATCACCAGCCTAGACAAACCCCTCCTGGAGCCCCAGATGGTTCTGGAAGCACATGGGAAGCCAGGTGCGGAGCCCCAGCCCCGCAGGTGGAGGTGGGGGGAAGGGCGGGTTGGGGGCTGCCGCTCATGGGCAGAGGAAGCCCGGGTGGCCGGCCGCAGGAGGAGGCCGGGCTGGGCCCATTCTCTCTGGACACGCGCAGGGTCGGTAGGTGGCTCCTCCTGTCCTGGCTGGCGTTGGCTGAAGCGGGGGTTATTTCGGGTCTGGTGGGAGCCGTACCTGTGACTCACACACACCTCCTGCTCACTTACCCGCCTCCGGGCCAGGCCCCACTGCCCTGAGCACATTGTGGCAGGTGAGGGTCCTTCTGCCCACCCAAGCCTTTTATGCGTGGCGTCTTCCGTCTTCTTCCTGGGGCCCCCCCCCCGCGGGGCTGGGAGACGGGGACGCCGCAGCGTGGTGTCGCTGTTGCCATCGTCCTCCCTCTGTGGCCTGAGGCCAGCTACTGCACCTGTCTGGAGCTGTCTCCTCTGAGCCTGGAAAACGGGGATGAGTGCTGGGGTCTGGTGAAGGATAAGGGTGCCCGTGTTTGGCCCGTGTTGTCACTAGGTGGGAGCTTTTTGCAGGGCGAGGCTCGGAGCCGGGAGATGAACCGGGACTCCAGCGGCACATGGGGGTCTCCTGCCTCCGCCCCCAGAGCCCGCCCTGCATCCAGCCTCTCTCATTCTGCACTTATTGAGCACCGTCTGTCTGCTGGCGTGTGTGCGTGTGTGTGTGCGGGTGGGTGGGGCTGGGTTGGGAAACAGGAGGCACCCGAAGGTGACAGGGCTCCCGTCCCCGAGGGGCTGCTGCTCCCAGGCCCTGTGGACCCCCCGGCGGGCCCCTCCCCCACCGAGCCCTGGCCTCTGCCCGCAGGATGGTCCGCGAACAGTGCTGCCACAGCCAGCTGGAGGAGCTCCACTGTGCCACAGGCATCAACCTGGCCAACGAGCAGGACAGCTGCGCCACGCAGCACAGCGACAACGCCAGCCTCGAGGCTACGTTCGTGAAGGTGAGGACCCGTCCCCCCGCCGGCCAGCAGCCGCTGTCCCCCAGCCGGAGGCCTGGGTGCTCTCCTGCCTGCGGCATCTGCCCAGGCCTCCCGCCCTCGGCAGGGTGGGAGGAGGGAGGGAGGAGCCCAGGAGGGGGGAGGGCCCTAGGAGGGGGGAGGGGCCTCTCAGGGCCCTCCCCCATCCCCCACCCCCTTCAGTTTAGTCATGAACCCTGGACAACACTGAGGAGACCGGGATGGAGGGACCCAGGCTTGCCCTGAGGGCCTCCCATCCCAGGACCTCTGGCAGGAGTGCAGAGATCAGAGCAGAGGCTGCCTGGGCTCAGGGTCTTCAGAGCCCTCTTTGCAGCTCATGGCAGGCCCCCCACCCTGCCCAGGACGCCCCCTCAAGCTTTCCTGCCCACCAGGGAAGTAGAGCCTGGAGCTCAGAACGGGACCCCCGGGGTCTCTGAAAACACGTGACATCCCTAACTGCCCTAGAAGAGGAAAGTGAGGTTCAGAGTGGCCCACACCCCAAAGTGGCCTGGCAGGGGAGGAGTCTGTGGAGGTGGAAAATGGGGCGTGGGGTCCACTGGGCTCTAGGGGGGGGCTGAGTTCTGAGCAGGTGACTTCACCCAGGTCGGGCCCAGTCCCTGAGGGCCTCTGTCCCTGTGAAAGATCTGCCTCTTCGCACGGGGGTGGGGCAGTTCCTGAGAGCTTTCTGGTCGGGCCTGAAAACCGTAAATGAACTAGGCTGTCCCTCCCTCACCGCGCACTGAGAGAGAAAAACAACCACGGGGAGCTTTGGGGTCCTGGGTCCTGGTCGGGGGACAGCCGCAGGAGGAAAGGGTTCCCATTCCCAGAGTCAGGAAGGCCAGGAAGTAACTCCGAGGAGCGTGAATCGGAACGGAATCTGGATTCTGGGGGGGAGGGTGGGGCTCCTTTCTGAGGGTTCTGTCTTCCAGATTGGGGCGTGAGTAGTTGGGAGCTCCAGAGCCCCCTCCGCCCACCCTCAGCCTTCATGGGCCTTCACGGTGGAAGCTTCTGCTTGAAAGTGGAGGGAGTGAAAGTGGGGCAGTGAGGGTCGGGAGCCAGGAGCTCGGGCGTCCAGCGACCGCCTCCCGAGGCGGGGCAGGGGCTCTGCAGACACCGTCTGCCCAGCAGACAGCTCTGCCCTTGTCCCCAGACTAGAGAGGAGGGGGGTGGTGTGTGTGGAAAAAACCCTTGAGACATCCTAGCAGTGGGAACTGGCAGACGAGTGATTTGTGTTTCCGGGGAGGATTCGTCGTGCCCTGGAAGGTGGAGGGGGTGGCCGAAGCCTCCCTCTTTCTGGCGGGGGGGCGGGGGGGGTTGTAGAATGCCCCATCAACACAGAAACTCGAGCCAAGCCCCACCTCCTGGCTCCTGCTGTGGACCTGTTGGAAAGTTCTGTGCCTTTCTGAGGATAATAAGGACTGGAACAGGGCTGTTCGTACATCAAGGGCCGAACGAACCCCCTGGATTCAGGTGTGACTTTCAGGAACACCGGGGTCCGGGTGACAGGCAGTGACTCTGTCCCTCACTTGACTTGTGTGGCTGTGATGCTTCACCGAATTTTGGCGTGCTTCCTGCGGGCTCTGGAGGAAGAAGGCAGCGTGTCACATTTTCCTGGGCATCACAGAGAAACCTTCAACCGCACACGAGGAGTGGAGCCTCAGGGCGCCCTTGTGTGACCCTTAGCGGATCCCTGTCCTAGCTAATTCCTCCCGGAGATGTAGGAGCCGGGCAGGAGGGGGGACATCTGGTGTTGGGGGACACGTGCTGGGTGCAACCCCTTTAAGGCTGCTTTCAGAGCCAGGACCTGTGAGGTTGGGTTGGCAACGTGCTCCGGGCTTGGCTTGCTGAGCTCTACACAGTGCCAGCGTTTAGAGGAGACAGCTACGTCAGCCGGCGTCCTCGCCGCCTGGGGACACGGGGATCAGCGAGGCCGGGGGCCCTGCTCTGTTGTGTGGCTTCTCCACCTGGAGTCTCTGTGTTTGCAGAGGTGCTGCCATTGCTGCCTGCTGGGGAGGGCGGCCCAGGCCCAGGGCCAGAGCTGCGAGTACACCCTCATGGTCGGCTACCAGTGTGGGCTGGTCTTCCGGGCATGCTGTGTCAAGGGCCAGGAGACCGCAGACTTTGCCCCCGGGGACCTTGGGGACCTCCAAGAAGCAGGTAATTTCCTCCGTCTTTTCCCTTTCGGGCGGCGCACCAGTCAGGGTCATCCGAAGAAATAAAGCCAACAGAATATGTGTGCATGTGTATGCAGAGAAAGAAATGTATTTTGAGGAATTGGCTCACTCGGGTCTGAAATCCACAGGGTGGGCCAGCAGGCCAGAGACCCAAGGGAGAGTTTATATTGCAGCTTCAGTCCAAATGCCGTCTGCTAGCAGAATTCCTTCTCGCTTGGAGGAGGTCAGTCTTCACCTGATTAGACGAGGCCCACCCACATTACAGAGGGCGATCTGTTTTACTTAAAGTCCGTTGATGTAAATGGTAATCTCCTCTAAATGATACCGTCACAGCAAATAGAGACCCGTGTTGGACCAAATCTCTGGGTACCGTGGCCCAACCGAGTTAACACAGAAAATTAACAATCACAGGCAGAGTAAGCACGCACGTTTGCTGTCGCCTGAACTCAGCACAGACCGACAGAGCACTGTTGGCGTTTGTCACCTCCTCTGAGAGGCCACTGCCCTGGAGTTGGGACCGAAGGCGTGGGATCTGGGATCTGACAAGTCTGGGTTCGCGTCCCTGTCCTAACGTGTATTTTAGGTAAACTGATTTATCCAGACCTCAGTTTGCTCATCGGTGCAATGGGGACAATTGCGGTGTCTGGGAGGACGAGGTGTCTGGTGTGGCACCTGGCTCCACAAACGTTTACCGCCACGGTTCTTCCCTGTGTTTCTAACAGCCCAGGCAGCATGGCGGGTGGCTCGCTCTCAGTTCACAGACGAGGGCCTGATGCTCAAGGCCACAAGGCCGACACACAGGGGAGGGAGAACACCGGCCTCCCGCGCCCCGGCCAGTGCCCTTTCTCTCTCCATCTGGTGCCAGTGATGTGCAGACGAGAGGCGGGCGGAGGTACCACTCACGGCTGCCTGCCTGGGCTCTTTCGGCTAATAGATACTTTTTCAGCAAAGAAGCGAGTGACCCCCCCCC